GCGGGGGGGGGGGGGGGGGGGGGGGGGGGCCGCGGCCCCTTCACTGGAGTCTCCTGTCGTCGACACACCTTCGGGGGGTGATGACGTGCCTTGTTCTTCTTCTACCATTTCCCCTCTCAGTCAACTCATGTCTTCTTTTCTTGAACATCTTCTCCTGTCTTTCTTTTATTTTTTTCTTAGAGAAATTTTATATTTTCTCCTTCTTTTTCCCCCGGCTTTCGAGCAGAGCAAGGCACTAATGGCGACGAGCAGAAAGATCCCTTTTTCCCGTTTTGAATAAGTTACGGTCTGGGCGAATGGACAAAAAGCCTTTTGAGATACCTGGGGAACAAATGGTTACCGTGTGTCATGGATAATTCAGGAGGGCCCAAATCTTGTCCTCGATTTCTTTTATTTTATTTTTCTTTTCTCGAAGGGGTAGCCTATAAATATTCTGACGGTCGAATGAGAAATGGCTTCATTTTAGCCGTCGATTGCGTTAGCGTTTCGTCTGACATACAAAGTGTGATTTGGGTTATGTTTTAATAGAGAAAACATTCGGTGGTCTGGCTTTTCGCGACACTGATTTTGACATTTTCTTATTCTTTTATCGTAAAATGTAAAATATTAAATCAAAAAGTGGGATATGTGTGTCATACTCAAATACGAAGCTTTCCTGGAAATGTTCCCAAATTCTCGTGCACATTATTCTTGGATCATATTGCAGATGCAGTAATTTACTAAACGAGAATCAAATTTACTTTTTCTTTTATTTGGGCGTACATTGCTTTTTTGACTCTTCTAATTGCTAAATTTTAAAAATCTTTAACTGAAAAAAAGGGAGCGTGTTCATTGTGGGGGTAAGTGTTCACCTAATTTTGCAGCTCAGAAATGAAAGTCCAAGTCTTATGCCAGGGCATGTGAGTGAAGGCAGTAAGATGAATTTTAGCTAAAATACTGTACTGTACACTGCAGTACATTATTAACCTATATAAGCATAGACTGTAAAACGTATATCGCGGACAAAAATATTTAGTTTCATGATGATGATTAGATGACAAATACAGTATTCGTTTTTTTAGGTTGAAAGCGCCAGAAATGTCGCCTTTCTCCTGATGGGCCAAATATGTGCAAAATATATGTAGTATAATGATAGAATAATTGTCGCATTTCCCATTTTGTAACATTCTCTCGGCAAAATGTTCCGGATTGTACGCTTATAAATTGCTTAAATCAACGCGTTCCTATGGGCCTAGTAGCGACAAGCGAAAGCATCACCAAGTACTGTACTGTATAAACGAGTTCGAATACAGTATTTATCATTGAAATTTCGTCAGAAAGTAATGCAGATTAAATTATGTGCAATGCTTTGCCATGGAATGGAGAAATTTCTGTAGCACAAAAAGTCAGCGAAAATGTGAAAAATTGGTAAACTAAATCATGTTCGGCTTATTAGTGGAAAAACAGTCGTCATTAGATAAAGCATGTAAGTCAAGTTTGAACATGTTTCGGTGTGCCCAAAAGCTATAGCGAATCTTTGCAGTAGCTTTTGACTAACATCATCTCAGTACGTATGTGGGAAACATCAGACCAGCAGTCGCTCGTGAATAAATACAGTACTAGTATACGAAATTTATAAAAAAAAAGGTTTGCGGATCTGCGCAACAGATTTTGGCAAGTCTTCGCTCACATTCGAAAAATAAGACAAGATACTATACAGTCGGGAAGCACAAGTACAGTATAATGAAAGCCTCATTCTAACCCAAGTTACAAGGATGGCATATCATTGACTCCGCCGTATCGTGTGGGGCTTCGCACACGTACTGTATAACATACGAGGTGAGCAATAGGCTTTATTCACCATCCCGGAAAGGCGCCCGGAATTTTAATTTTTCAACAAGCGGCAAAACGGGCAGGACGTGAACGACATTGTTGGCTCGCGTCAGGTGTATGATTGCTGTTTGCCGTCGATCACAAGGACACAGCGTTGTCAGGCCCGGATCGCAATGGAGGGTTCGATCGCTGCTCAAAAGGGCCTTCGGAGTCACGCATGAAAATTGAAGACCTGTCGGTCATTACGCGCGCAATGTTGCCGACTCTGACGAGAACTTCCGAGTTTCTGGAATCAATTATGCAGCGACGCCTTGGCCTAGCAATTATTGGAAGGCTCGGGTTATCGCTATACAGTACAGTATACGGACGAGCTGCGCCATGGCTTGGAATAAGTCGGATGAGACTTATTGAAATAAATTTCAAATACAATTTTTTTTATTATTCTCATGAGTTACTGATGTGTCTTGATGATGATGCAGACGCCTTGGCCTGGCATTTATTGGAAGGCTGGGATTGTCGTTAGATGGACGAGTTATGCTGCGTGGCTTCCAACGATTTGGGAAACTGTTTCAAAAATTCTGCAATTTAGTTACTTGAGTTTTTCAAGGATGAAGTGACGTCTTGCCCTATAGCAATTAATGTATTGGAAGACTCGTTTTTTTTTTTTTTTTTTTTTTTTTTTTTTTTTTTTTTTTTTTTTTTTTT